TGTGTGTGTGTGTTTGTGTTTGTTTTTGTGTTTGTGTTTGTGTTTGTGTTTGTGTTTGTGTTTGTGTTTGTGTTTGTGTTTGTGTTTGTGTTTGTGTTTGTGTTTGTGTTTGTGTTTGTGTTTGTGTTTGTGTGTTTGTGTTTTTGTGTTTTTGTGTTTTTGTGTGTTTGTGTGTTTGTGTGTTTGTGTGTTTGTGTGTTTGTGTGTTTGTGTGTTTGTGTGTTTGTGTGTTTGTGTGTTTGTGTGTTTGTGTGTTTGTGTGTTTGTGTGTTTGTGTGTATGTGTGTTTGTGTGTCTGTGTGTCTGTGTGTCTGTGTGTCTGTGTGTCTGTGTGTCTGTGTGTCTGTGTGTCTGTGTGTCTGTGTGTCTGTGTCTGTGTGTGTGTCTGTGTGTCTGTGTGTCTGTGTGTCTGTGTGTCTGTGTGTCTGTGTGTCTGTGTGTCTGTGTGTCTGTGTGTCTGTGTGTCTGTGTGTCTGTGTGTCTGTGTGTCTGTGTGTCTGTGTGTCTGTGTGTCTGTGTTCGTGTTTGTGCCTGTGCCTGTGCCTGTGCCTGTGCCTGTGTCTGTGTCTGTGTCTGTGTCTGTGTCTGTGTCTGTGTGTCTGTGTCTGTGTGTGCGTCTGCGTCTGCGTCTGCGTCTGCGTCTGCGTCTGCGTCTGTGTCTGTGTCTGTGTCTGTGTCTGTGTCTGTGTCTGTGTCTGTGTCTGTGTCTGTGTCTGTGTGTGTCTGTGTCTGTGTCTGTGCCTGTGCCTGTGTCTGTGTCTGTGCCTGTGCCTGTGTCTGTGTTTGTGTCTGTGTGTGCGTGTGCGTGTGCGTGTGCGTGTGTGTGTGTGTGGGTGCGCGTGCGCGCGTGGGTGTGTGTGGGTGTGTGTGGGTGTGTGTTCTTTGTGTTTTTTTGCTTTGTGCAGTTGTTCGCGTTTGCGTGTGTGTGTGTGTGCGCATGTTTGCTCCAGTCGTGCTTGCCCTGTGTCATTTGTTTTTCTTTAGCGTGTGAGGCCGCTGGGCACTTGACCAAATTCTTGCCGAATTATGAACGGGGGTGTCGCTCAGTGCAACTGTAGCAACCACAGTAGCAATCGCAGTAGCGATTTCTGCAAGGCGACTCTCTTTGAGATGCTGGTTTGCATCTCTCTGGACGACGCGGACGAGGAAGTCCGACTAGCTGCTGCAGATGCCTTGCGCTGCCTGCCAGAAGGAGATGCAGAGACGGCTGAGACCACGTGCCCTGGACTGAGCCACAGCTGACAACCCACAAACCCCTGTCAGCTATTTGCTGCTTAAGAAGAAGCCGCAAGTTGTGTAATTACTGCTTTTCGACTGCTAAAGTTGTATTGGATGCGATTTCTCCTAGGAAGGCTTCTTTTTGGTTTATACTCTGAGGTGCCAGGAGTACCCGCAGCTTGTGAAGCGCGTGCAAAGGCGGTCCTTTGCCGTTGCAAATCGCCCTGATTTGCGCGAGAATCCTTGCTGTTCCATGTGAGTTTGATTTGATGAATAGCTCAGTTGTCCTACGGTGGCAACTTGAAAGGCAGCATGTCTAGGGTTGAAGCCTCCCTCAATCATGCACCCTTCTGACTGTCGCTTTATTGGAACCCCTTCCCGAAAGCAATATGGCTTCACATGGACCGTGTGAGCTTTCGGGAACCAGCCTCACGCAAGCCTTGACCCTTGCCAGTTGAGCAAGAGGCAGGCCCCTACAAGGGATCATCCTGCTTTGCAGGCTGGTGGGCAAACATGCTGGAGAAGTTGGAGCGATCTTGCGAGCCGTTTTTGCTTGCCCTCAGCCCGAAGCCGAGGACGAGGCTGTGGCAGGGCTGATGCATGAGCCAAACTTGCAGCTCTTCGTCACTTGAAAACTTCTAGCTTTCGGCGTAAAGGGGCTCTAAGAAAGAAGTGACTTTACATTTTCGTCGGACAGCCTACAGAAGCATGTTTGAATGGCATGCTCTGAGATGCAAGGTTTAGGCCAAGATGCATTTGGACTCTGCTGATGGGGTTCCTCAGACTTCCACTCTTCGCCATGGGAAGGGGAGCGGTCGGGAGGAGCCAGTCTTCATGAGTGGACCTACGTCGGTAAACGCGGCCGTAATGCTTGTGGCCAAGGTGGCCTCAGAAGCCACCAGGCGAAGTCAGATGCCCCGGTTATTTCTTAAGTTGGCCATACTTGTGAAACTTGGATGTCATAGGGTTAAGTACCCCTGAATCTGGTGGCTTGGGAAGCTGAAGTCAGCCATGACCTCTTGCCGCTCCCAATCATTGGTCCATTTGTTTTGTCACTTGCCAGGACAGACTCTGCGTAATTTGCCAAGAGCCCTTGGAGCTGAATGGCGGTTCAGAGCAAGTGTCTTGCGGCCACATCTTCCACAGGAGATGCATGGAGCCTTGGAGAGGTATGCTGAGGAAGCAATGAGCAGCAGAATGTAGTACCATGGAAAGCGTGCAAGCCGTTCTTGACGGAGGTGTGTGTGTGTGTGCGCGCATGTAAATATGGAGTCTGACAAAGTCAGTCTCATCATTAGGTAGCCAGAGGCCGATCGAGGAGTCATGTCAGCTCAAAATCAGGGGCCCCGTCGCGACGGATCCAAGTGCTAAGGACCGCTGGTGCTTGTGGTCGAACAGATGTTCGCATGCTCCGAGCTGTCCTTTGTGCCGTGCAAAGCTGCCTTGCCATTCAGATGGGACGTTGAGAAGACGCTGAAGTACCTGCTGCGCTGTCAAGATGACACATGCTCCATGTGCGTAGCAATGTAGCTTTAGGATTCCTGTCGATCAATCGACAGCCTTAGTAGGTTAGGACGGTTTTGGCCACAGCGCTGCAAAGCAGGCTGAGCGGTCGTGCATATGTCTTGTTGCCTCGCTTGTGCCTAGCATCCCTCTGGGTGTATGGCTTGCATTAAATTGCACAGAGAGACTAGGCAGTCGCTTACTACTTACTTTATGCTCTGTCTTTGCTGGTTCTTGGGCCTGTACAGTTTCCCAATTTCCCAGCATGCTCAAGAGACTGGAAAATAAAACAAGGCGCATGAGTGTCCTGGTAGCTGCAAGAAGCAGTTCCCCATTTCTGGAGCCAGGCAGATGCTGGAGAAGCTCACAAAACAGCTGCAAATCTGCCTCTCCCGCTTGCAGAGCCTAGGCAGTATGGCTTTGGGGGATGGATAAAGCCAGTTGAGTGAAAGTGGATCGTGCAGGAAAAGCTGAAAATACCCAGAAACACTGGATATCCAAAAGCTGTGCAAGAGGTTGGCATGACTGAAGCAGCTGCTTGCAAGCGGCGCCCCAGATCATTGTCCAAGGAAGACAGACTTGGATGACAAGGCCAAGGAGGGGGCTCTGGTCAAACAGCCGAGGTGTCAGACATGGATTGCAACCTCCCAGCCTGCAGGAGAAGTACCAAGACATGATCACGTCCCTAAAGGCACAAATGTTGAAGATCGGCAACGTGTAACGAGCAATGCGGCCGCGCGGCCGCGCGATGCGGCTGGCCGGATGGCATTTGTCACTGCAGTATGCTTCTCGTATGAGCCACAATCGAAACCCGGGTAGATGAATTTGATTAAGGGACACTCCCAGCCATAAATAATTCGGCCACCTCCTTAATTCTTCTCATGGTTCTGGGTGGACCATTTCAGTACCGGGTTTTCATTGTGACGTACATGACAAATGAAACAGAAGGCAACACTGGCTTTGCTTCCTGACATGCCATCGTGCCGATGTGATGCTTGCACAAAGGCTGCTCAAAGCGGCAGCCTGGTTTGAAAGGCAACCTCAGCTTGGGGAGAGTTGTCAGGAATTGCCCCATTGTGATTCGCAGTCTTGGACTGTAGAAGCACGGACTGCGACATTTGGCGTTCATCCATGTCGTGCAGGTGTTTGTGTGAGTGTGAGACTTCCAAACTTCGTGCAACTCCTGCCAGCTGAGCTGAGGTGCATTGTACAAAATGAGTTGCACCCTTCATGCGGTAGCAGGATGCCAACAAATAAGCAGCCCGATGCATTCTTGATGCGAGGGTTCTGCATGAACTGTCTTGAACGACCCCTTGGGTAGTGAGTGCTCGCGCGCTACGCAGGGTCGACTGGGTTTATGTGTAGACGCCATGGCTGCCGAGGCCGCGGCGGCCGCGTAGTACGAAGGTGGCATTCCCAAAAGTCTCTACTGAAGAGCCAAGGAAGAGAAGCCATGGGAAAATTGTGGCCATGGTCCTTAACCCCTGAAAGTCACCAGTCACCAGTGGTTCTCTATTTGGCCGCAATTCCTCTCTTGCCACGGCTTTGAATCAATAAAAAGTGCTATGTGATTTTAAAAAGAAAAGAGAGTAAATGCAGGCCTCCGTGCCCACCCAGCTCAAAGTGGATGCGTAGGGGGCCCAAGGGGGCCCTGGCCTATGCCCTCTGGTTTCCACTAGCTGAAGCAAACTATTTGCCAGAAACGAAGATATCTCACATCCTTTCTATATGTCACGTCATGTCACTGTCCATCAAAAACTCGATGCCGTTCTGAGCATCGCATGCACCATGGCCCTAGGTGTTGACCGCTTGCTGTTCGTAGTTGCGAGCGGAAAGAATGTTGTTGGCAAATTTGAAGCGCGTGCTGAGGTCAAGCCAAACCGATGAACGCTCCTTGGTGTCTCAGTACCCGGCAAACCTGTTGTTTGCTCAGGCCGGTACTAACCAGATCCCACGTTTGTAGAGAACTTCAATCGCCAGGGCATGCTGAATACCACCCTCCTCCAGCTGCAGCAGTTGGGGTCTCAGATCATCCTGAGCCGGGGTCAAATGTGGTGTATTTGTGGCAGCATATTTGCAACCCTTGGCAGCCCCCGCGAAAGCCCCGCGATTTTCGCCCTCCAAGGGTTGAGCTGCAAATCTCGCGGCTGCACGGGTATGTCCGCGAGCACAGGCGAGGCCAAGGAGCTTTTGCCAGCATGGTACGTATGCAGAAGGAAGCAGCTGTCTTCAGGACTGTTCTGGAGGTTGATTCTCCATCCTTTTCAGCCATCGTTCGTTTCAAAAACCAGCCCTTTCCCCAGGGGTTTTGGGTGGTTTTCTAGAAAGAAGGATCCCTGGAAAGAATGGGGAAGTTACCCCTAGAACTGTCTAGCTTTGTGCCTGGCAGGTTGCTGGAAAGCAAGGCGATGGCTAAGGGCCGCGTGGTCTTCAACGGAGAAGCCGAGGCTCGATTTTCCGAGCCATGCTTGGATTGGTGGTTGAAGAGCTTGAGCCCTGTGCACTATCCAGAGCTCATTGGATCCAGTTGTAGGGTAAGCAGTTTGCTTATGTGGCTGTGGGTCAAAACCAATGGGATCCCATTTTGGGGTAGGTGCACCAGCCATTTTAGAACCTATTTTAGCGGGCGTTTGACCCATGGCCATGTGTGCGTGTGTTGCCTGAAAGCAAAAAGCGGATGGAACTTGAGAAACACCTCACGTGTCTTGAGTTGTCCAGGCACTCTACGCTGAGCCTCGGCTTGATGGCACGAGTGCTGCACTTTCCACAGCACATGGTGGCTAAGACTAGTTGGGTGTGTCTTTTGTTTGGGAAGCCCTCCAAATTGGGGGTGTCCTTTTGGTTTCCCTTTAAACCAACCCAAAAGGGACCCTGAAAAAGAGTCTATGCCTAAACTCTCGCAGAGTTGTGTTGTTGAGGCCGCTGCGGCGTTGTCAGCCTATGCCGTACACTCAGGACTATATGTGTGAGCTTCTAGCAAGCAACAAGGGGCTGTTTCCTCTTGCTTCTCGTTGGCTTGTTTGCTTTCAAGCAGCCACCAATTTACATCACGCTCGATGAGGGCTCTATCTGAAGCAGGGTAAACGTGATAAATCATAGCCAGCTTTCAGAACGGCTTCCGATGTGCAAGCCTAGTTTGGCTTCCTGATGAGACCTGCCATGCTTCCACTGATCACTTCTCAGGCGGAGGCCCCGCGAGGCATGTGCCGGACCGACGGGCTGTGCGGCGTGTTCCTGCAAGGAAGTTGATTCTTCTTGTTGCAACAATGGTTTTTGGTAGGGAGGCCATGTAGTTTTTTGGAATTCAGTATTGACACGGCCTTTCGCATGCAGTAAGCCAGCCCTTGGTTCAATGAGCGGCACGAGGCCCTGTGGCTCATTGTGCATGATTGGCCAGGTGATGCCCCCGCCCCCGCAGGCGATGCTGAGCGGATCTCAGGCTTACGATGGTCGACTTACCCCTGGCCTAGATGTGGGAACCGATCAGCAACATGTAAAAGGAAGTGCGATGGAACCCCTTGTTTCGTACCAGAGGACTGCCCCCGACGAGCCTTGCATGTTTGGATGTTTCGCGCAATTCTCTGGCGTCAGTGCTTCTGGGTTTGGATAGTATGTGCGTCCTGGTGTTCTGAGGCCGCGGGGCAGGAGGTGCAGAACCAGAATCGAGCTATGCACAGGCGATTCATCGGTGTGTTATTCAAGGTGCGGAACCCGATGGGGCGAGCAGCGCAAGCGCTGAAACGTGCCAGGCTGGGCTGATCCTCGTGCTGATCAACGCAGATATGGCATGGTATGTGATCCTCTTGGCGATCGACACTTGGCACAGGAATCGCCAATTGTAGGATCTAGCATGAAAAGGCTCAGAGACTCTGAGTCCGGCTTGCTCAGGGTCTCCTGTACATGGGCAGGGGGCTCAAGTGCATACCTTCGCCTGACCGCGATACGACCTCACTTGGCTGGGCCATACGCATCCCTCCAGGTGGAGCGTTTGACTTTGCATTGCTTCGTGGCGACATGCCCGCAGCTGCAGCCGCACCCGCACCCGCACCAGCCCCGGATCGAGCACCTGGGCATGCGCGAGAAGGCGTTTGTCGCTAGTGGCAACTCTTTGTTTTGCCCATGCGACCACCTCTTTTCAAAACCCTACGCTCGGCCTACGTTCGCAGGCGCTGCGCCTGTGGCTGCCTCTGACAGCTTGTTGACCGGGAAGCGAGCGACGGAGCGTCCAGGCGCAGCCCCAAGACCAGCACCAGCTGCTGAGACGGCGCTTTGCCAACGTGGCCAAGGACAGGTTGAGAATTTTGGGGAGGGTTGCGGGCGGCGCACTGTGTTCTAGGTGGCGCTGATCATGTTCTTCTTCATAGACTCTAAGTTTGAAAAGCTTGGTCGGTGGTTTCTTTTCTTCATACTAGCACCTGGGCGGCAGGTTTGCAACAGCCCGCTTGCATGGTGTGTGCTGGTGCATGTGCTGAGGCGATACTTTATCTTTGTCGCAGCCTTGGTGACTTCCACAATGATTTGGTCGCAAATCGTTCGGCCGCTCTTTTGACCAGGTGGCATGTTCAATAGTTGGATCGATTGGCTTCAGAACTTCGGGAATGCACAGGCACTGAGAGAGATGCTTGCATTCGGTGGATTCCGTGGCCAGTTCGGTGCCTCTTGCCGTGGCGCTAAGGGGGCGCCGAAGGCCAAAGAACTGCGAACTGCGCAGGTCACTTTGGAGCAGCAGCTGAATGCCATGCGACAGGAGCGAGCTGCCGAGGTCGGGGAAAGCCGGAGATGTTGGAAGTCAAATCTTACGAAGTCCTCGTTGAAGACACGTTCTTGAACAAGACACCCACGTTGCCTGGTGAACGTCTGCCGCGGCCGCCTAGCCCCACCCAACTTGAACGAACCATGAGCGCCAAACGCAAACCAGTGGGCTGACCTGTTTGCGGCCGGCTATCAATGCATGACCTTCCTGGCTAAGTTTGCACTGCATGGCTGCAAGGGCAACCCTGCTTCTTGTTCCGAGCACCTATGAACCAGGAATCATTTCGTGCCAATGCCGATCGACTCGCCCGATCAAGCCCCAGGCGCCAGCTGCGCCTGCAGCTGCTCCAGAGGCGGCAGAAGGTGCTGCGGCAGATGCTTCCACTGGAGGCGAAGGCCTGACCGGGTGGGCATGGGTCAAAATGAAACCACCGGGGGACCGCAGGTTGTAGTCTTTGGTTCCATTTACCAGGCTTTCATTCTGGGTACGCAGCCAGGTTGGGTGTTTCTTCTAAGAAGGTTACATCCAACTAACCCTGTTTTTTTTTGACAGGCATGCCATGGCTTTGAAACGAAAGTGAGGAATGCAAAGTTGCATGCACTTAGCCAGATCTGGCAGGTGAAGTACCTGCAGATGCGCAGAGGCATTTGTGTTTGCTGGCTCGTCAGCCCTTTTTTTCGATGTCCAGTGGGCAAGAGAGCTGCAATGGCAAGGCCACCAGCGGAGAACCCAGAACAACCGTCCGGCGCTTAACCTCGTAGGGCTCCAATCTCGTGGCTCCCCGCCCAGGCCGTACTGGCAGCGCTTCGTATACCAGCTGCTGGTGAGTCACCCAGCTGCTGGTGAGTGGACTGGCGCGTGTTGCCGCAAGTTGCAAAGGTCATGTTCTTCCTCACCTTGATCCCATGGTGGAACCCAAATCCAAGGCCCGCTTGCAGTGGCAAGTCCGACATTTGCGCTGCTTAAGTTAAGGCGCTAGATTTGAAGTGAGCCGCTTTTGGCAAAGGTATCTCTAAGTTGCTCTCCCGGAAGCAGAGCGGCAGCGGCAGCCTCTCATTCAAATCAGTGGATACATCTGACACTGCATTCCCTTAGGATCTCGAGAACGACCAGTAGGCGAGCTCTTCAAATGCCAGTGAGGCTTGAACTCCAAAGCGCTTGCTCTTCTCGCAGATGCAGTCTCATCTGGCTTAGTTACGTCACTGGCACGTCATGTGTCAAAAGCGCCGAAATGTGTTCATGGTGATGTTGCCCGCAAAGAATTACTTGCCATACAGGCTCCTATGTGAAGTCGCCCGAAATCACCATTCATGTCCGGTTCAAGGAAGAGGCACTCTATTTGCAAAGCAACATCATATTGTGCTGGCTTCTCATGAAGAGAAAGCTAGCAAGCTTGTTTTTTTTGATTCAATGATGACACGCTCCACTCCAATCGACTGCACCAAAACCTGTTCCGTTGCGACCAGCTGTGTGGAATTCATAATATACCATACAGTACTTGCCACACTGATGTCGACACACGCGTAAGTTTGTGCACCTGGCTTGAACGGAGCCCATTTCCATAGGTCATCACAGCCTCGCATAGCATCGCTCATGGCAATTGTGGCAGCACCACGGAGAAGATCCAGTTCGCAGGCAGATGCCGTCATCGGATTCCTGCATTCTCGACGGATCAAGTCATGCCTCGAAGCTTGCTTGTTCAACGATATGACCAGAGCTGCATTTGGAGGGTTGATGTTCAAGAAGGTGCGTTGTGCATTGCTTGTTGGGCGTTCGCTCTGGATGAGGGCTCAGAAATAGTCAGCTGCTAGTTCTCTCCTTTTGGAATGTGCCCGTCGAACAAGTGTAAAATCATCGTTTGTGGTTCGTGTTTTCACTTAGGAGGTGCTCGTCAGTCGTGTGCAACGTCATGTTTGGCAACGAATGTTCCCCCAATTGTCAAGCGGGTACGCTTTCATGTACTGTTGTAAGTGCATTGACCAAGCCCGGGTCAATCCCCCCTCCAGTGACAAGAACTCTCCCATACACCCAGCGATGCTAGACCAATCATCGTTTAGCAGTTTATGTTGTTGTTTTGTTGGCCAAGTTGTCAATGGAAGGTGAGGCCATACAAGGTGGGCTGGTTTCGCTCGATCACTTGTCTTGGGCAGCCGAGCATTTGATTTTCTGATTTCAGCAACCCCGCTGCTGTTCTCTCAGGCTTGCGGCCGAGCAACTGACCACCCACTTCGGCCTGCAGATCGGCCTCGCAGCTCATCCACACACCGCGTGCGCCAAGTGAGACATCAGCAAGGATCAGAAAGGTGTGTATCCTCTCAATGCGATTTCGGCAGATGAGAGAGAGAACGGGACCGCCCGAGAAAGACACGTTGGGCTTGCTACGAGCATTCGTCATCACAGTACACCGAAACATCAAGACAGTCTCCCTGCATGTTCAAAACGCGATATACATATGTATATATATATATATATATACACGTGTATATATATATACATATATATATATATATATAATGTATTGGTTTTTGTCATAGCTTCATGGAAACCATGATAGAACGGCACGGCCAAAGCAATCCTAGCGCAAAGGTTTGTCCACGTGCCAGGTGTCACCACGCACGTGTCTCCAACGCTCGCATGGGCCTAAAAGGTTCGGATGTCGAGTTGTCGCGCTTGTGCGCCGACCGCCGACTGAGCCCAAAAACATGGGATTGAAACAGGGTTCCTTAAAAGATCTCCATTTTGCCACCATTTGAAACATGTGGCTGTTTCCGTACCAAAATACATTGGGACACCTCCATTTACAAGTTACAATGTTCAGGTGTATAATGTATCCGGATCCCTGTTAAAGATCCCTTGTTTGGGCAACCGTTGCGTGTCCCTCCATAGAGGGCACCAGGGTCCAGGGTTTAAACCAGTTTTTTTTGCGCTCGGTGGCCTTGGGTCGCAGAAGGCATCCAGGGACGCTGAAGTTTAACCAGCATCCTGTGCCAGAACGCTATACGGGCCACTGGTTTCCCCCCGTTTGCGCCCGTAGTGAGTTTGTTGGCTGGGACATTGATGTCCCAGTACATCCCAGTACCCATGGCTGCAACTTGACCTGATCTTGTTTGTTTTGGTTTTGTTTGCATGGTACGAATTATTGTGGTATTCTTGTGGTATTGAGGCTGGCCACTCGTGGCCTGGCAACGGACTTGAAGAAGGAAGCCAATCGTTCAGAGGGCTTGCCTGCTGCCCGAAACTCAGTACGATGTGAATGTCTGACTTGGTCGCACACCAAGCGCCAGGTACTCTTCCTTGATGTTGATGGCGTTCTGCATCCCGTGCAGGCTGGAGTTGCATGCGAGCTTCTTTATCTGGATTTCTCTGGAGTCAAGCCGGTTCGGTCCGCTTGGAGGCCCGCCATCCACGCCAGCAGTTTGTGAATGGCTGCCTGGCATATGCCTCAGTAGAGACAGCGCATTCTGTGAAGGTCTCAGCGAGTTTCGCCTGAGGCGCTCGTTGCCGACATTGTCAAGGCTCGTCAGCCGAGCACGCCTTGCTGTGAGCTCCTTCTTTGCAGGCGACTGGGGCATCCATTTGCCTCTCCACGGCTTGGAGACTGGTACGCTGCCTCAGTTTCCTTTGTCAAGCGGATTGGTGTTGTCGGTTCAACGTTGACATGCTTTCAGCTTTCAGGATCCCACAGCGCGCCGCTTTGTGGAGGAGCACCAAAGAGCACAGCGACTTGTAGTGTTGCCTACACCTCTGCAGGAGAAGCTGCGGGAGTTTGGGCACCTTGGCCGCAATTTTTGCACGAGCACGTCGCATCTTGTCAAGCAGCTGTGCCGCGTCGAGTCCTTTCAGCCGCAGGTTAGGGCCACCAGTCGGGCGGACCCCAAACCTCGCGCAGTTCCACCGCAGCAGAGAGATTCTTGCATGGGCCAGGGCCCCAACCCAGGCTGCTGTTTTTTTCTGGCCAAAGCAGAACCAATGTGGGCCTGACCACAACAAAGGCTGAGGTCGTCAAAAAGGGGGAAAATTGAGAGCGCCTCTCTAAACAAGATCAATTGCGAAAAGGGCATGTTGTCCAACCCCATGTTGCAACTGCCGAGGTGACTCGTTTTAGGCCAAGCACCTGGGTGGCGTTGGATGACTGGCCGCTGTACGAGGACGGTTGTTTCTTGATGGGGCACGCGGGTTGGAGCCTTGCCCTTGCCTGAGTTTCACTCAACAAATATTTAATAGTCTCTGGTCCAACTTAGAGGGATATGGCAAACGGACTGAATAATTACATGCGAAAATGGAGAGCCACGTGTAGGGTAAAAGCATCCTCCAAGCACGATCCGTGGCGGCGCAAGCCTTCTACGTGCAGAAGAGTATGTGAGGAGGATCAGAAGATGCATGGTCACTTTGTACAGTCGAGGCCACGCTTTGGTCTACAGCCGATTCCTCAAGATTGTCGCATTGGAACAGGGGCCATCCTTCTGGTAGGAAACTGTTCTACTCGTGCCCACCTCAACTTTGAGCTTTGCCTTGGCGATGTTTGGCGCGCCTTAGGCCAGATACAGCCCAGCGAGTGGTGGAGCTTTTCAGAGCGCAGCAGCTGTTGCCTTAGATGCAGGCTGTTGACTTCAGCCTGCCATGCTGTGCTGGTACTGGCGCAAGCGGTGCATGTGAGTGCACGCTGGTTTTAGATCAGACCAAAGTACATTGGCACTCGGCGCTGCTGAAAGCCACGGTCCATTGAGGCAACGCCTCAAAAGCCTGCCATAGGCCGGCGATAGTCAAGGCCAGCGAGGCACATCGTTGCGTCTCGCACGTGCAAACACAACAATGGACGACTTGTGCATGTTGTTCTTCTGGACTTCCCTTGAATTTCGAGCAGCACAATGCCCAGACAGCTAGCTGGCCCAATCGGCAAGGCCCAGAGTGCTTGCGAAAGACCGCAGGCAGGGCGCGAAGCAACTTCGCCATACTCATTGCATGAGCGTGAGAAGCTTGCAGGGACTGGGAAGATCTCGCAGGAAGGTCATCAAGTTCCTCAAAGTTGTCGCCAAAACAAGACGGGAGAAGCTACTGGCAGGGCGTTAAGCCTGTCTCCTATGTTTCTCCCCATGTCCTTGCCAAAGTGTGCAGTGTGTTGTGTACGGAAAATATGTGTGCAATAGCACTGCGTTGCAGTGCAGAACTGGTGTTCTTTGGCAACATTGCACGTCTCACGGACTTTGGGAAAAGCTGGGCCAGTGTAGCCATACCTCAACATATTGATTTGCAGCGTTCATGTCAATGCATTCTTGTGATCAGCGCAATGACCACTGGCCAGCTCATACATGTGACATGTGTAGGCCCAGAATACATCAGTGAGACAGCTTTCATTCGCAATCGAAGTGTTTGATTCCAGGCCCACAGCATGCACTAATTCTGCGGTTTAGCTTTGCAATGCGTCGTCAAGACGGTTTATCTTGAAGAAACTTCGGACGCTATTCCCTGCAGAATTGCAGGGCAAAACTGCAATTTTGAAATAACATCTATATATATATATGAGTGTGTGCATTTGTAAGGTGCGCAAGGTTTAGTAAAGGATGGAAATTCGATCTATACGAATTATACCCCCTGTATTTATTATTAGTATTATTATTATTATGATTATATTATTTGTTTATATTTTTTGAAATATTTTTATTATAATAAAATCGTGGGTGGTTGGATAATTGTATATATAATATTTTATATATATATATTATTTATTTTATGGTATTTGGAAAATATATTTTTATAAGTTTAATTTTGGGTAGTTTTTATTGTGTTGGAATTATGGATATTGTATTTATATTGAAGAATTGTAATTTTTGAGTGGGATTTATTATTGTTTTTTGTTTATATTATAGGAAATAATTGTGTTATAGATTTTTGAGATTTATATTATATATATTTATAATAAGATTTGTTAGATATTGTATATTATATATTTCGAAAAAACACTATAGATAAAAATAAAGTTAAAAGAAGTCGAAAGAATGAGAGCGAAAAATAAGAAGAAAAGAGATAGAAACAGAAAGGAAGATAAGGAGATATATTATATGGAATACAAAATATAGAAGAAATGAAAAGATGGAATGATTAAGAAAGAAAAGGAGGAAAAGGGTAAAATTTAATTATTCGAGGGTGTTTTTTATTTAGAAAAGAAGGAAATGTTTGGATTGGTAGAATTTGCATTGTAGAAGAAACATATAACCAAAATTAGTATATGGAATACGGAAAATACGATTTTAAGGTTATACTCCGATTTTTAAATAAAAAAATATTTGTAGTATTTAAATGAAATAAATATATAAATTAATATTATTATTATTATAGATTAAAAAACCTACGTTGTGTTATTATTACATATTAATTATTATAAATATATTTTAAAAATCGATCTCTTTGTATTGGTGTTTGTTTTGTTATTGTTTTTTCTCGATCTTTTTTATTTTTTTTATGTGTGTTTTTGGTGTTTTGTTCTTTTTATATATCTGTTGTTTTTTCTTGTTCGATTATTTAAAATTTGATATAGATATATTTTATATGATCCTTACAAATTTGTAAATATGTGGCATATTGCCGTGGTATTTGACTTTGAAATAGGTTTATTTGGGATTGATTTGTTGGATATGATTATAATTGCAATTTTTCTTTTAAGAAAGAAATGCCGGATTATATTCGAAATGGATTCGGTTGTAATCCCGTAATAATAGGGCAATTCTTCAAGATTTGATAAAATTATTTGGGTGTGTATAATGTTAATTTGAATAAAGGAATATTTATAGTATATTATGAAGCAATTACGAAATAATTAGAGTCGTTTAAGATATGTATTTTGTATTTGTGTGATTGCCTTCGTCTTGCCCGTTAATTTTTATGCAGATTCCGTGCCGATTCGTCGGGCCTAAAATTAATGGTTCTTCGTTTCCAATTGTGTAATTTGGGATGTTTGTAAGTTTCTATGTTATAAGCCAAGCCTTAGCTTATATATTCGATTATATCACATAATTTTCGAATTTATTTATATATATATATATCTATATAGATATTATATATGTTTATGTTATTGTATGCCGTATTTCTCCCTTTTAAAGCTCGTTTTTTCTTCTTTGTTATTTATAAACCATTATTATAATGAATTTCCTTTAATATATTTTAAATGCCGAATATTATATTGTTATTCTATTTTAAGATTTTAAAATAATGTAATTTGTATTTAATTATTAATTAATAATCAAAGGAAATTTAGAAGGAAATTCCGTGTTATGGTAACTAATTGAAAGTTAATTCTCCAAAACAAATGATAAGAAAAGAAATATGTTCATGAGGAAAAATGCGCGCGCGTGTGGCAGGGGAAGAGAAAGTCGCAAAAAGCGTGGCCTTGTGCGTGAATCGACGTTTTCGGAGATGAGAAAATCGCAAAAAGCGTGGCCCTGTGCATGAA